CCTCCCCCTCCGCCGTCCGCACCGCACAGTTCACGGGGCCACACATAAATCGCACCCCCTTTTTCTGATGCGCCCACCAATCTGAGTGTGTTTATCTTTTGTTCCTCTTCCGCCCAATCCGCCCCTTTCTGATCTTTTCCCCTCTCCTTTGCTTGCACATGGAATCTGCCGACCACATTTGTTGCCCTTGACCCTTGCGCATCCGCGTGTATTCTTTCGCTCTATCTGCGGGTAACATCATCGTAAAAAGATTATCGTGATTTTACAAAAACTTCTCGGTTAAATTTTCTATCGCGAAACCTTCGTTTTCAACAACGAAACTAACTAAAGAGTATAAAATAATTTTATGACTGATGACACCAGCATTCGAAACATTGCGAAATGTTTCGTACACTCTAAATGTCAAGGGACAATTTTTGTCCATTTGCAAGATGCATCTGTGTGCACACTCTGCGAGATGCAATATTGAATCCAAGAAAGTGACAAATTTGTATCTGCCTATAGACAAATATTTTTTTATTTTTTTTGGGCCAATTAAAGATACAGTATTGTCACTTAAATTGCTTTAGAATTGCATCTAGCAAGATGTGCACATCTTGCCATGGACAACAATTGTCCCTTGACGTTTAGAGTGTAAATTGACAATTACAAACTGTTCTTAAATTATTTTTTACTAAGCATTTCGTAACTTTTTTTTTCGAAAAGCCACGATAACTTTTTACAGTGTTTTAAAAATATTTTGTTCTTCGGTTGCTCGCAATATTTCTGTAAATTAATTATTCAAACAAAGCACTTCTTAAAGGGCGGCTCTTGCGTGGCTCCGCGAGCTCCGCCCTCACGCAGTGCCCCCATTAGCGCCGCTCGCTCTGCTGTCGTTGTGTCGCGCTCATAATCCCATCTTTCTTCCTCTCCTTTATCTATCTCTTCCGCCTCCTGCTGCCGCGCGTGCGTGCGGCCCTGTGTGTGCGTTATGCATTTATTCATGGATTGTGCGTGCGGGGATTGGGTGATTGGGGAGGGAAGGGGGGCAGAGGTGTGAGGCCAGCGGAGGCGGGCGGGAGGGGAGAGGAGCGCACCGGGCGTGCTTCCAGAAAACGCGCGCCCCGGCCGCGTTTGTTCATTCTGACCCGCGTGCCCGTCCCCCCCCCCCTTTTTTCCCACCGCTTCCCGCCTAGTCCTCTATTGCAGATTCAGTCTGACGAACTCCCTAGGCATATCCGCCGCTGTGCCACGTGCACGCCACCGCACACGCACGACTTGTACGCGGCCACGACCGAGTTTGTTATTGGGAATCGGAGAATAAAGAAGTACACGAGACTTGTTGGCGGGGGTGGTCGCGCTCCTTGGCGACGCTGCTGCAGCCTGCAAAGCATGCGCGTTCTGTTTTCTTCTGTTCTGTGGTTTTCATCAATGTCTTTTCCGCAGTGAGGAAACAACTACACGGTGGCTGCGGCGGAAAACTTGAGGAACCGCCCTCCCCTCCCACTCCTCGCCTCACCCTCGCCCCTCCTCGTCTGTTCCTCCCCTTTCGCGTGTAGCTTAGCGCGTCTCGCGGCACCTGGTGTGGCAGCGGCCCCGCATCGCCCGGCGGCGCTAGTATTTGAAATGCTAAAATACTAATTTTTATTGACATTTAAATAATGCGCCACCCTCAGAATGCGTAAAGGCGGCGCGAAGGAAGCAGGCGAGCCCTGCGCGAGTGCTTCGCCTCCTCCCTCCGCTCCGTCCTTCCCCTCTCCGTTATCGCCGCTGCGACCGGAGCTATGCCTGGCGCACACAGCCCCGCGCGGTGGGAGGCGGTGCTGTGCGAGTCTAATCCGCTTCAACTCCATCGAGGTCCGCTCGGCGGCTGGGCCGGCCGGCCCAGCCGGTCAAACCACACGGGGGCCCGGTCAGGCGAGGGCGGCGACCAGCAGCACGACCCGGGGACCCGGGGCCCCTTGCTGCAGTGGCCTGCCT